TCTTACAAAAGAATCTCTCAACAAGAATTGTATTGAGCTCGGACAACATAAATGTTTGTAAAAGAGTATTCCATTCGATTACACCAAATATTTATCAATATCCATACCTCTGTTTATCAAGATAGACAGTGTTTTCTAAAACGATGCTCTACAGTATTCTGTTTCACCTTTCAATCAGTCAAACACATTACAGTGTACAAATTCATACCTGTTTTGTATAACTTATCTCTGTTTCAAACCTTATCCAATGGTTAGGCAAGCTTTACATAAAAAAGACGTTTTAGCGGAATAATAGTAGGATCTCGGGGATTAGCCAATCTTTCTTGTTGCTGCTGTTATATAATAGAACTTATGGTTTATAATTATTAATTTACTATAAGAATCACTTAACTACCAGAGACACACTCCATCAAAATAGAATTAAATTTACTGATAATATTCTAAACTATTCATAATTGGCAATAAAGTTCTTCCATAAAACTAATCAATAATTCATCAGTGAATTTCGGGGAAAAAGAACAGAAATTAAAATTTTATCACTTTCAATAAAACTGTTTATAAAGAATCAATGATTCTTTTACTGTTTAATTAGTTCCTTTCAATGATGTGATTGATTAGGCGTTAGACATAGTTTTTGGTACTTTCCTCTACTTACGCCTATTACCCCCTAATGAATCAAAAGCCTCCGACTAGCATTCTCCACACAAATTCTGTCCTGAAAACTTCCTTTTCAATTGTATCTAACTGTTGTTGTTTTCAGGTTTGTCTTTGCTGATCAAAGTATTGTGTTCTTCCTCTTCTCCTACGGTCTTGAGGATTCTAAGTAGGGGCTTGTCTTGTGACGCAGTTCGGTGCTTTCCTATCCACCTCCTGTACTTTTTCCTGATTTCTTCACCAGCTGGAATCTGGTTTTTTATCTCCCACAGTTGATTGGTGCTGATGGTGTTCGGCCATCTCATCCGGCGTCTGTTGCGTAGACAACTGTTAATAGGCATTTGTATCTTGTGGATAATGGCTTTCCTGGTTCCACAAGTTTCCGGTTAATACAGTAAAATGTTTTAGAAATTCGTATTCCAAATTCTGACTTTGGCATTGATTGGTAATCGTTTTGAGTTCCAGATATTATTGCCAATCCGCACCTGTACATCTGCATCAGATTCATCTTGTTCATCAACGATACTGCCCAGATGTGTAAAGACGTTTTACATTCTTCAAAGCTTCTCCTCCAGACATACTTCAGGCAAATAATTAGTTATTTTGTCTAGTTGTTCAAATATGAACTCAGTTTACAATTTAACGGTTCTTGGTTGTTAAGTTTAAATACTATGATTAAGTAATATTTCCAACGGATAAATGTGAAAGTTGTTTATGAAATAATAATTTTTAGTTCTTGTACTAGTTTATATACAGATACAATTTTTTTCTAAAAAAACAAACATTGATAACTGCACTTCCTAATATTGTACGGTCAACGTAATAAAATTAATTTTCCGTGAAATAGGATGAACTCAAGCGGATAAACGAAAATGGCAGAAGTACTATCTTACAGTTCATTAATTTCCCTATGAATATTTGAGATGATCGTGAAAATTTGTAGCTCAGGTGGATGCTTGTGATGGTGTTTCGTTCTCTGAGCTGGATGATGTTTTGACTGTGAAGTTTTCATTCTTCTTCTTCTCAACAACGTCATCATCAGCACAGAATTCAGATGGAAGAAGTGACGTATTCGAATTTCTCCACGTTTGACCCATAGCTTGTTCTGTTAATCTCGGTCTTGATTGGTTGTTGTTGACCTTACGTCTGTCGTTCTTTGATCCTGTGTTTTGATTGTATCCCCCTTTTGATCTGTTTCTTGATGCTATGTTTGCCTATGATTTTTTTGATTGGTTGATAAATTGGGTCAATGCAGACCTGAGTGTCAAGCTTCTTAAGATTCTCTGATTTGCTTTGTGCTCCATCTATCCAGTATTTACACATTGTTCCAATCGAATGTTTGTCCATAATCGTCCGTATGTATTGATATAAGTGAAGAATTGTCGTGGCGTTTGACTGTTAATTGATGTTTATGTAAACGAAGCTGAAGATGCCATCCATTTTGTCATATGTAGTGTTTTTCACAATCTGAACATTTTATTTTGTAGATGATATTTGGTTTTTCTTCCTCTGTCAGTTTGTCCTTTGGTCTACATAGGGTTGATTGAAGTGATTCTGTTAGTTTATGTGCCACACCATCGTGAAGACTCCTATTTTGTGGAGACATTTCTTGAAATCTTAATTTCTGTCAAAAAAACATCTTAGGTATACAAAAAAAACGCGCCAAGCAATTTAGCAAAAGCTGAGAGACATTAAATTAGATTGGCAACAGTAGTGTAAGACATCTTAAGTAATTATCAAGTTGAATTTTAAAAATATGAAAACGCAGACTGGTTTTTCCGACCAAAAAGAAATGTGAGTAGCTAAAGCTTTCCATATACTGCTGAATCTTACTGCTTTCAATAAAACAGAAGGTCTTACTATTCAGTAATTTATCCGATCTAATATGTCAGTCTATTCACATCTTATATTATTCTCATACATACAAATTCAACTGTATCCTTTCGTATTACATACACCACACTACAGCCTTAATTCTTGGGTCTATTTTAACTTGAAACAATCTAACTTGTTTATTTATTCTTTGAAAAAAAATTGGTTTACACAGAGTACCGAACCATTAGAAGAAGGTTTTAATTTTTCTACGTATCGGAATATTAAAAATATATTTCGTTTTGATATTATTATTAATCCGTCCAATGATCAATTCCTGATATTGTCACTCTACATTAATTCACACCACGATGTGCCTACCAGTGACTGGCTTAGTGAAGAAATTGTCTGAGTTCTAGTGAGAAGACGTGACTGGTGATGTTTAAACCTGTCAGTTGTAGGTAGTAACTAGCAAAGACAAATGGGAGAGGTCAAACAAAATCCTAAGACTGATCAAATTTAGATGACGGTCCAATGGTCCAGAGATTAGGTGATCGCGCGTAAGACCGAAGGTCCTGGTTTCGTGGATGCCACTGATGAGTCCCATACCAGGACGAAACGGCCGTCCAGTGCTTTCAAGTTTCTAATGGTGGTCGATAAAATGGTTTATTCATGATTTCGAGGCAAAAACTACCATCTTCATAACGATCAAAATGAAGAATAAAAGAATGGTGTTATTACAGTGTTCACAGCTGTACCAAGTTATGAACTGTACTAAGGTTTAAGAATAAAGCAATACTTATCGATTTTTTTATATGGCTCAATAAGTTTGCTTTCTAAAAAATCCCTATTAACACATCTGAATATTGGTTGAACCTGAAGACCATGAAGTCTATACATTACATTCAATGTTAAATTACCACAGAATTGAATTAAATAATTTATCCAAAGTTGTCTACAAATATTTTGATTGAAACTTTCAAATTTGTTTAATTATTTGTCTACTATTCAATAGTTTAATAATAATTCTTATTACTGAACATTTTAATTCGTTAGCGATTATCATCCAACATCTACCTTTAATTATGGTGGAAAATATGTGTGTCTATTGTTTTACGAATCGGGGCTAGCGCATATTTTACAGAAACCTTTCGTATGACTAATTTAAATCAGTGTATTTAACAGATATATTTGAAACAATCACTTAAACGATAATGATTTTGAAAAATGTGTGATTCAGACACAATCAGAAACAACCTATTGTGGACGAGAACCAACCGCATTTCAGAAGAGGAAAAATCATGGATAGGACAGACACTAAAGAAAGAACAGGGCAAGCTTTCACTTGGAATCCTCAAGGTCGAACGAGAAGTGAAAGTCCAAAGATCACAATACGCCTAGAGTTGGAGACAGACATGAAAAGAATGATCAGCAGTTGGACAGAACTGGAAAAGAATGCCCAGAAAAGAATAGGTTGGAGAATGCTAGTCGGCAGCCTATGCTCCATTAGGGCTAACAGGCACAAGTAAGTAAGTAAGTAAAATAAATAGTGCATTTTAGTAAAGCTAAGATTTATTGCAGAAGTAACAAATATCTCCGTGACACACTTAGACTAAAAGATTATCAATCTAAGTATCAGCACCAATATGATATGAATTTTTTCCTGAATATCACAACAAGGCAGGATCTCGGTGCATTTAACTCTCTATATGTATACTTTTGGTGTAAATCTATTTTGTAACACAATTACATAAAACCAAGAAAAAACACCCACTCTCTAAAATAAATAACTAAATATTTGCGTGTATACACAAACAAACTGTTGTTTCAATGGTTTAAATTATCTGTTTCCTGAGAAACATTTTTATTCCTGTACTAAAATTAATGTGTATAATTGTCATTAAGTTGAATTTTTGAGAAAGAGACAAATTAATTTTTTTTTCTTTTTCATTTTTAAACTCAATTAGTACAATGTTCAATGTATCATCATAAATCACAGTTTCTTTGTTGTTTTTTGTTTGTTTAAAACAACCATCATTCGATTGAACTTTAATGTTTGATTGGTTGGTTGGTATTTTCTCTATGAAGGAATAAATTTTAATCTACTTGTAATGATCACACACACTTGAAATGAAGGCATAGAAAATACATTAGAGACAATTTCATGGTTTCCGTTTGTTTGCTTTTTTTGTTTAAATGAAACGAATAAAAACGTGAAAACTTGTAAATTAGGCAATGGAAAATCAAGAACTCATTCATAAACTACCAAATTTAAAGTTAGAATATATATATTTTCTGTACATAACCATTGAAATTAAAATTAAACTATATATATATATACATATAAAATAATTGTATTTTGGTCTGATGTAATTTGTTGAAAGTTTTTTAATTCAACTCATAAATCTTTAATTTAAGATAATATGGAATGTGAACTCTCCTTATTGATACTTATTATTTGAATGATAAGTTTTTAATGTAGAAATGTTGACACAGTAAAACAAAAAAACAAACCGATCAATCAATCAATCAATTTAATTAGTACCATCAGGATATGCATTTGAACAAAAATAAACTAAATTTGATTGAAATTTCAAATGATCTTGATCTAGGATGATACATGTACTTGGAGATGCTGATGATGATGCTGATGTTTGTGGTAGATGATGTGTAGTATCAGTGGTATGATGATAAATATGTTTAAGCAAAGGTGGATTTGTCTGGACTGATTGTAATACTGTATCAAATGATGTAGTGAATTGTTTCAATGAATTATCATCAGTAATTATAGCAGATATAGTAGATATTTGTGAATTCGACATGGAATTACACTCGGTCATATTTGTACAACATAATTCACATGGTTGTAAAGTTTCATTTGGTTGTTGTGATTTGTTTAGGGCATAATTTGAATGAATTGATACTTCTACTAGTGGGTTTTGTATTGAATTGTTAGTCAATGTGTGTATCTATTAGAAGGAAAAGTTAAAAAAGGCATAGAAATCGGTAATATATTCTTATATGTATACAACAGTTAGTGAGTTTCCATGTCATTTATTTTGCAAAGATGGAATCAATGTGAAATATGAAAAGCTTTTAATTGCTACTTTTCGAACAAGTGATTTATAAATGATGTAGGACAAATAAGGAGAGATGAATAAACATGATAATATTGATTCGATATGGAAATGTGAATACTGAAGCACATGTTCCATCAGTGATGATTGATTTTTTCTTATCACTCACTCTCCATGTATATGTCCACAGATATATTTTTAATTGATACTGCGTTAGGACATGACAAAATTGTTTAAACATTGTAGTATTATGGGCTAAATTTTACTGTTGATTGTCAATTAAGCAACAATGTAAAATTCTCTTCAGCTCCCTACTTTAAAATTAAAATGTTTTTAATTCTGTTTCACAAGGTAGATACCGGGAAGAACTGGATGGCCGTTTCATCCTGGTATGGGAATCATTAGTAGTGCGCGTCAACGACTTCTGCTACTCGTAGCATTCAAACCCAAGACCTCCTGTCTTGCGTGCAAACACCTAACCTATGGACCACTCAGCCGGCATCCAGTGGTGTTAATGTCTAACTTCAAACAATTTAATAAAATTGTGTGACCTCACCCATTTGTCTTTGATAGTTACTAACTACAAGCAACAGGGTTTAACTCCTCTGGTCACTTTGTGGATCACCACTGCTGGTGAGTCTCATGCCAGGGTGAAACAGACGTCCAACGCTTCCAGGTTTCCAACAGTAGTCCAAAAATGATTAGTTCATGATTTCAGTGTTGTAAATACAATGATCTTCATAACTCTAAATAAAAAATCACTAAATTTTGTTGAAAAACCACATAACCATATCTGTGTTGCATGACAGTAGTTATGAATTGTAGAACTCGGGGCAACGGCCAGTTCATGTTTGCTATCTATTCATATCCCTCGGCTAAAAAATGTCTGAGAAAAGACATCTCTTTACATTTCTCTCTGTCTAGGTATTGAAAGTTATTTGGTACGCCATGAGGCTTGTTTAATAGCAGAGCGACATATAAACTGCCACAAAATGTGACAAATATATCACCGACATGCTTCGGAAAAAAATTCGCTTGGAGACCTGAGGCTGCTGCTGGTCCCAAGTCCGGATAAACGAGGAGGGTTGGGCGTTTGGTTGGCTACCCCTTCCCCTAGAAAACTAACTCGCTAAAAAAACGCTAACCAGAAACATACATCATAACAAATTCACAAATTCACGGGCTTCCTTGGAAGTTTATGGATTACACTCGTCCCTAAGGAATGAGAGCAAAACCATTATTCACGGTCGAGCGATATTTCTAAGTGGTTAATTTTTGTTAGGGACGTTAGATCTCCAGAACTCACTTGAGAAGGGTTCTAATTCTGGATTTTTTCAATGTTTTCGCACATAAGTCGCTTACTTCAACTTGAGGTTATAGTTCCCACTCCGAAAATCCTTGACTGTCATTGGTTGACGGGTTTTTTTTGGCTCTCACTAAGTATGTTGCTATCATTGTATAAATAAGCTTGATTTGTATGTTTAGCAATCTTATATTTTCTGGTTGCCTGTAGAATTTCAAACAAATCAATCAATCAAATTTGAAAATAAACATTATTAGATTCTGATTCACTGGATTGAAAGTATCATAAATAATATGAGGTTTCGATAATTGAACTGTGACTTCTTGATATGCTATAACAGAAAACTACCAAGATATCTCATAGTAAAACAAAATATGCGTCCGACTCTTTCTGCCCCTCAATGAATCATTGTCAAACGTCTAATCACTAGACTTACTACGTTAACGTCCAGTAACGAAATTTTACCTACAGTTCATTTGCAATATCCAACAGCGACCATTTAGTGTTATTTATGACAATCTGTTGTCTTTACACATTTGAAATCATCAATCAATCATTGTTAGACCACCATTAGAAACCTGGAAGCACTGGACGGCCGTTTCGTCCTGGTATGGGACTCATCAGCAGTGCGCATCCACGACTCCTGCACCTTGCAGGACTCTAAGAAAGAACCTTCAGTATTGTGCACGAACGCCTAACCATTGGACCACTGGACCGGCATCCAACGGTGTTAATGTCTAACTCTGATTGATCTAGGGATTTCGCGCGACCTCACCCATTTGTCTTTGGTAGTTACTGCATACACCCGACAGGTTTAAACTACATTGGTCACGTCCAGTGCCTCCAGGTTTCTAATGGTGGTCTAACAATGATTGATTGATGATTTCAAATGTGTAAAAACACAAACCTCAAAAAACTTTGCCCGAAAAAAATCTATTGTCTGTTAAATGTCTAAATTTCAAAAAAAACTTACGAGAAATCTACAAAACTCTTGATGCACACAAACTGAAAGCTATGTGATCGAACTCTAGTGAGGTCGTGAATACAGGCTGATAATGAGTGTCATATCATAAATGTTCACTTTTGAATGAATAAAATTAGACAAATAAAACCTTAATATCTCAAAAAATCCTTTCCATGAAACTTTTTATAATATGACACACATGTTAAAATAAAATCTGTTGCAATGTATGCTGCTGTTGTATCATTCAATCAATCTAAATTAAAAAATTGTTTTGTTTCAGCTTTTTTAGTACCAAAATTAATTTTTTTTTAAAAAAATCTTTTTTTTAGACAATAAAATTGCACTAAAATTTGCTTGTAGAAAGAATCATGTAGACCAATAAATATTTTATGAAAAGAATAAATATTGTTTTTGTTTTTTGAAATTGCGGGGTTTTTATTTGTTTTACTTATAAATTTGCAATCAATACACGTTCTAGCATTAATTAAAACAAAACTATATATGATGGTAACTTTCATTCAATAAGCTACTTTTGTTCAAAGATTGATTTGCTCGTCAATTGATATGCTAGAATGCTATTACGAGTTCACCTTACTCAGTAAACGAGAGCGAAGACAAATGATCCAGTGATACGATAGGCTACTTTAATCCGAGCATCCAAAGGCCTTGCTAACTATATCAAGATGTATTGATAAGGCGTAGAAAGTGTATTCTACAAGCACCCACAAAATACGAGGTTGACAAGCACACAAGTCGAGTTTATTTATACATGATAGAAACGCTTTTGGTGAGAGCCACAAAATAACGTTCTAGAATAATCCATTAACCAAGGACATTTAAGAATTGTACGAGTGAGAAATTTAAGTTGAAGGTCTACTAAGCGACTTATGCGCGAAAATACAAAAAAATCCAGCATTAGAACACTTTCCAAGTGCATTCTGAGCATCTCACGTCCCCAAATGAGCTTCAGACTAATTGATTTGTTTTAGAGTTTGCCGTATAAGTAGGGTTTTGTTGTATAAGTGAAATTTACTATCACATGTTACATTTGTATATAACTTGGGCTGCACAAAATTCATGTGTAAATTGAATTATGCAAAATGTTAGATCAGCTTGATTAGTTTAGTATTCAAAAAAATGTTTCCTGGAACAACGATATAATTGTATAGTTTTCATTCAACATCCCATTGACTTGGGAAACTATTTTTGTGGATAGAATAGTAACTTCAAACCAGAGAAGTGTGTATTTAATGTTCACATTGGAATCATGAATCAGTGATTGTTAGACAACCATTAGGACGCTGGAAGCACTGAACAGCTCTTTCGTCCAACTGGTCAATATAATTTAGTATCATTGCAGATACAAATTATACTGTGGACATAGTTGAGTTTCATCAGTTAAGATTTCTCATTAGAACATTTCCTAAGAATTAAGTTGGATGTCACGTCAAAAATATTTGTCTTAGAAGTTTGAAGTTCTCAGAAACTTTCCTTTTTTAGTAATTTCGTGAACCTTCAATCGCCGTCATTTTGTGTGATAGTAAACAATTACATAACTCGCTTGGAGAATAACTTTCATCAGTAACATCAACTGAACTTTTGGTAAAGTTATATTTTCAAAGATGCATGATTTATAGTTGCGAATGTCGCATTGACTTTCACCCAAACTTTGACCTGAATCTTGACTGAATAGTTCCTTATGATTCTTCGGATTTCTTGGCCAGATACCATCAGCAACAATTAATTGTGGTAAAGAGCAAACCAGATTCTAGTGAAGGATGAAATCAGAAAGATGCGTAAGAACTGTATGGGACACACGTGGAGGAAAGGACTCAACTGTAGAGCAGGACAAGCCCTCGATTAGAACCCTCAAGGTCAAAGGAAAAGCAGAAGGCCAAGGAACATATCACGCCGAGAAATGGAGACAGATATGAGAAGAATCAACAAAAAGTGTACAGAATTCGAAAGGAAGGCCCAGAACAGATTAGGTTGGATAATACTGGTCGGCGGCCTATGCTCCTTTCGGGGTAACAGGAGTAAGTAGATTAGTAAAGTAAGTAAATATGTCTATGAAGACCTAACTGATTGGGAGTGTGATGTTTTCGGATACATTCTGTTCTAGATATAAGTGAAAGTTGACAGATATTTCTACTACTACTACTACTACCAACCACTTAATAACAAAATGTAGTATATATGATACTATATCAAACTATCTAGTATCTCAACTTGATCAATACGATTCGATCGTTACCAGTGCGTTAATAAACATTAAACTAACTATTATCCAGTTATCAATCATTATTGTCTCATTATTTGAATGATAGAAATATTATTTATCCAAATATGTCACAAAAGAAAATACTTATTTCTCCCACAATAACTGAATTATTGATGTGTTAAAGTGTAAAGCCGCTCTAATTAATGTATCGTTAAATTCATGTGTAATATGTTGAAGAACGGCCATCTCATCTTGGTATCAAACTCATCAGCAGTGCGCATCCACCACACCTGCTACACACAAGATTCGAACCCAGAACCTTCGGTGTTCCACTTGAACGCCTAACCTCTGGACCATCGTTCGATGCCGGTTAGGCATCCGCTCACGAGACTGAAGGTCCTGGGTTCGAATCCTGCATGTAGCAGGAGTTGTGGATGCTCACTACCAAGACAAAACCGCCATTCAGTGCTTGCAGTTTTCTAATGGTGGTCTAACAATGAATGATTGAAGAAATTAAAAAAAAACGAACATGGAAAATACCTCCTAACTCATAATATCCACTAAACGATAGAAAAAAATAACGTAATATAACCACTGAAATGGAATCACATTGTAGGAGAAAATTAAGTTAGATTATACTTTAGTAATATGACAACTATCATTCAGTCAACTTCAATTTATTTTGAATCATTCCGTTGGGAATATATATATATGGTGTATACTACACGCATACACACATATAGATAGAGGCTTTGGTAACTAAATTATTTGCTTCTTTTTTCCCCCAATTATTAATTACGAAAAGTTTTTTGCTTACCCAACTAACCACAAACATACAACGAAATTCATTTTTAATATATCTAATTAACCTATATGTTACAACATTAGATAGACACAATATGTACTATTATGCATAATTATATTAGAGTTTAATTTGTAGAAAACATTTCAATTGATTCACAGTTAATTGTATGAAATTTTTTTTTCAGCTAAAGCTATGAAGATTAGTGTTTGTTACACATTGAAATGATCAATCACCATTAGAAACCTAGAAGCACTGGACGGTAGTTTCGTCCTGGTATGAGACTACTCACCAGCAAGGCGCATCCACGACTTCCGCACATTGCAAGATGTGACCAGTGGAGTTCATCCCTTTTGGGTGTAAGTAGTAGCTAGCGAAGACAAGTGAATCAGGTTACGCGAAATCCCCAGAGTGATCAGAGTTAGACAATAACACCATTAGATGCCTGCCGAGTGGTTCAAACGCTGGGTGTCCGCGAGCAACACAGAAAGTCCTAGGTTAGATTACTGTGAGTAGCAGGAGTCCTGGATGCGCATTGCTTATGAAAACTATACCAGGACGGAACCGGTGATTCTAGGTTTATAATGGTGGTCCCACTGTAATGCTCGTCACTTGATATGCTTGACATTATTACGGGTTCACCTTAGTCGATAGACGAGAACGAGCTAATGAACCAGTGACACGATAGGCTACTCTGATTGGTTACCGCAACCAACTGGAGAAAAAGTCTTGATATGGCATAGAAGTGTATTCTACGAACACCCAGCAAGCACAATCAATTCAAGCACACAAATCGCGTTTGTTTATACATCATAGAAACATCCTTGGGAGAGTCACATAAATCGAGTAATAAAATAACAGATTAACAAATCATAGCCTAGGGTTTTCCTGGTGGGAAATGTGTTCTGAAGGTCAACTGATCAACCCATGCTCGAGAACATAAAATCCAAAATTGGGACCTTTATAGAGTGATTACTGGGGATCTAACGTCCACAGCACTCACAATGACTGATTGGTCATTTCAATTGTTTATACTTTCAACCGCTTAATTGCAATCAAGAATATATAAAATAAGTTTTGTTTTAAGTTATATAGATATTTATTAGTGAAGAACCAGATGTTGACTGCCTGGTTGGCGTCCGCGAGACGATATTAACCGATGGTTGGAGACGTTGAACAACATGCCTCAAAATCGTTTGCAATGGCGCAGGTGTATTCATTCTTTGCGTTCTCTCAAATTCTAATCTTCTGAATTCCTCATCACCTCTATCTTTCACTTTCTCCATTTATTTCGCTGGATTAATACTTCTTGAATAACAACTCCAAACCCTAATCTTTCCGATTATTGCTCATACTTCTACTTTCACTGCACCTAAGGGATTTGAACTGACAATTACATCTCTGTGCTAATCTGGTACGGCAACTTGAACTGATGTACTTACGTTCGAAGTTCTACGTCGTAATTGGCTGACTTACTGAGTGAAGAATAGTTGGAAAAAACTTCAAAATTATATCTTTAGACATAATGAATCATTGTTAATGATATGTTAACTAACTCTGACTAAGTGGCTATCATTTTAAAACAATATGAAATCGTATCGGTTATGGTATTTTTACACAATTTCGTTTTGCATACTCATAAATAATATTCGGAACTCCAGTGAACTCGGAAATTCCTTGACTGTCATTGATTGATGGATTATTATTTTAGTACGCTGTTTTGTGGCTCTCATCAAGGGCGTTGCTATCATTGTATAAATAAACTTCAGTTGTGTGCTTGTCGATCTCTTACTTTCTGGTTGTCTGTGGAATATATTCTCTCTACGTCTTATCAAAACGTCTTCCTCTAGTTAGTGGGGCCCGGGCACGATCGGATTATAATACACTATCGTGTCGCTGAATCATTGATCCTCGTCCTCGTTTATCGACTAAGGTGAACCTGTAATAGTTGCAAGCGAATCAATTGGCCAGAATATAATTTTTTAGTCATCATTACAGCAGACAATTAATTTTTATAGGAATAAATGTAATGCATACATAAGATAAATGAATCACTTCAATTAACATGCAGTTACATACTGTTGGGAACGCTAGATCTCCAGAACTCACTTGATAAATGTCTTAATATTGGATTTTATTGATTGGCTAATCATCTGACCTTGAGGTCACATTTCCCACCAAAAAAATCCTTGACTGTGATTGGTTACTCTGTTATTTTACTGTGCTATTTTTGTGACTCTCCTAAGGACTTTTCTATGATGTATAAATAAACGAGATTTGTGTGTTCGAGTTCAGTGTGTTTGTTAAGTGTTTATAGAATACACTTTCTACGCTACATCAAGACTTCTTAGTTAGTTCCTTTGGGGCCACCGATCAGAGTAGCACAACGTGTCACTGGTTCATTAGCTCGTCCTCGTTTATTGACTAAGGGTGAACACGTAATAGTATCAAGCATATTAAGTGACAAGCATAACACAGATACACTACACTGTAGAAAAACATTTTATTCCAAATGAGATAAATTCACGTGATTTATTAAATAAATCGTTTGAAAATTTCTTTAAAAAATAATAAACTTACTTTATGATTTACATCAGTCCATTGAACATTCATAGGATGATGATGATGATTAGGAGGAGGAGGAGGAGGAGGATGTAAATTCGATGCAGATATTACTGTTGATGGCGATGATGATGATGATGCTGCTGTTTTAGACGATAAAAGTGTACTTACACCATTTACATTCAATAAACCATCATTATTATTATTTAAAATGAATTCTTTTGAAGCAAAATAATTCGGTAAAGGTTGTTCTTTAGAATTTTGTTGTTGTTGTTGTTGAGGATTTGTATGTATCAATATTGTACCTAATGGATGTCTGTTCACTTCATGACTATCATCTTGTTGAATTAATTCTGGTGCAGTAGTCCAAACAACAAAAGCTGTATTTGAACATGATGATGAGGCGATGGAACATGGTGTTGAACAATTATATGTTGTGAATTTATCAACCACATTATTGGATATCTGTATGTTACTATTATTATTATAACCCTGATCTGAATTCAATTTATTCGTTTGATGCTGCTTATCAATGTTAATGTTTATGGAATTTCTTCTATCCAACGAATCTACTGTATACAGTTTACTTTCAAATGATGTAGATTTAAGTGGACTTGGTAAATGTTTCATTGAATTATTGTAAATTGCATTTTCAGCGTCTATTGTCATAGGCGATTTTCTATGATCAGGTGATTTAATGAAATTGATCGATTCTATTTGATTCTATAATAAACATGAAATAGAAATGATTATTGTTTCATCCATTATTACATTATTGAACCTTTCGAAAAAAAGACCAATCTAAACAATTTGATCATCTGATATGATGAAACACTATAGAAATTAGTCAAAAATATCTAACTTCCTTGAATTGGAAATAGAATATTATTCAGATAGTTTATACTTAAGTGGCTCAGCAGAAATGTTGTCTGGAACTTCTGCTTTGCCACTCTTGATTTGTAGTAATCCCAGGGATCATATTAGCTGAGATACTGTAAGCAAATGTCGTAGTAACTTCGAAAATGTTCCACATTCCTTTCAGAAATATTTGAGAGCAAGAACAAGCACTAATAGACTGAATAGAAGGACACCACAATAGGATTTCAAAGAAAGAATATATAAGTAAGTCTGAGAACTACAGAGGAACCACTCTAGTCTCAATACAAGGAAGCGTCTTCAACAGAGTGTTGTTGAACCGAATGAAAGATTCAGTAGACTTAGACTTCAAGATCAGCAGACTACATCCCGTACGGATAGATCATTTACCAACCAAATCGCCACACTATGGATCATTGTGCAACAATCAATCAAATAGAAATCACCAATGTATATCAACTTCTTTGACTAAAAGGCGTTCGAGCAAGGTGGATCTAATACAAACGTGAAGGTGCGGATCGGTAAAGCGAGGGCAACATTTCTACAATGGACTAGCATCTGGAACCCAGCTGAGGAAGATATTAGGGAAAAGCATTGGAGACACGAAAAGGATGAACAGCAATCGGATATAACTGGAAAGGTAGACACAGGACAGAGAAGGTAGAGAAATGCTAATCGGTAGCCTATAACTCGTGAGGGATAGCAGGCATATGAAAACTTTCAAAATTGAGAAAAAGTGTATGAATATTAGTAAAGCAATAATATTTAACAATTGACTGAGACAAATGTCAAAGGTGATTTAATCGGATGAAATGGAATAAAAAGAGCGTAAAATCTTTCATCAACATCGATTGATACTATAGTTCTACCATATTGTCATGATATAACAGCAGAACCGCGAATAAGTCTTTAAATCACACGAAATTAAAACATTTTGTAAAACAGTAAACATTTTGAAAGGATTCAATTGAAATAAACAATAAAATTCTTATCTATTTGATATAAAACTACGTTTAACCGCGATAACAGTTCACATAGATTTGTCACACAGTTAGATGCCTCACAAATATATCCATCTTGACGTCCGTGATATTGCTTAAGACGTGTGTAGTATGTGTTAATGATTCGTTGAACCCACAGGGATTGTCCTCATTTTTGGACAAACTAATTAACCTTTTCTACTGAGTCATTATTCATAACTACTCGACCTTGTCAATCATTTGCTGATAATCTTGGTTGTTCTTCTCCGAGTATGTGTGTGTGCATCGCTCACTTAGCTTATTGCATGTCTAGTTCATTTATGTCTAACTTTAAACACTTAGTCATGACTCATCTCTCACATTCAGTTGGTTCACGCGCTTCCACCACTTTACTTCACTTTACTTTTACCTCAAACGATTGCATTCATTCAACTAGAACCGTATTTAGCTTCTCATATTACCGGCATCGCACAAACGAACTTCAATCTTCAAGTATGATATAGACGGGAATTGGATGAAAGGTTTTATTTCGTTGTTCGTAAACCCTGGAGTTAAATCGCGTGCTACTCAATTTGTGTTCATTTAATTTCTGGTCTATTTTTTTATTCCCCATAAGAAGAAGTCACTAGAACATTTTTTTAGTCATGAAACATTAGAAAAAAATATTTAATTTTCTACTCCCATATAATTGATTTTTGTTTAATGCAGGTTATGTTTTATCTGTTTTTTTTTTAATATTTTAATATCTTAATTTAATTGTGACTGTTGCAAATGTAAATCATGTCAAGTTAAATCATTTTGACAGTCAAGATAAATAAACCATAATACTTCAAACTAATATTTGTATATATAAGGTAAGATTTTTCACGTAAATTTAAAACAAGAATGAATAATCGATCGGCTTGAAATGGTGTATTTGTTGGATTTGGCTGTATTTAAAGGATTTATACGTTAAATTTGTTAGAATGTGTAGCTAACTTACTCTGGCTACCCTTAACTAGAATTCTCCAGCCAAATCAGTTCTTTGCCTTCTTTTCAAGTTCTACCCAATAGGTACTCACACCGGTACCACCTAATACCCTAGCTGACCATTTATATATATGTGCTGAATAACCTACAATGTCACTGTTCATAATCTGTTTTGTTGTATCAGTTAACTAAGCCGATTTGAATTGTAAATTAGCCTTATTTATTTCTTTATTTCGTCAAGGAAGAAAGTGTTTGAGATTTCAATAATGGAGCATACTTTAAAGAAAACTGTTGAATTAGTCGATTCATGTAAATAAAAGTCAGGAGATAACCTAATCCTTAACTTAGAGTATAAAGATAAGATGTTTGTATAATAGATTTTAAAGATTTAAACCCTAAACATTTTCTTCAAGACTATTTTTGGCAGTAATGTTATATTGACTCACTAGCAGTGCAATTTATGAGTTTTACACTTAAGAATGTAAGTTCTTTAAGAAGCAGTTACTTTGTATTGCAACCTAAATAACTGAACTGTAACGTAGTTATGAATCTGAATGTCTACTCATCTTTCAAATACCTAAAAAAATGTATAAATTACCAAAACCTACGAAATACCATCGATAAACATATAGCATTTTATTTCTTAACAATCCTGTTTATATACTTCAATCATCCAAAATAATTGATATTATGCGAAGAATACGGTAAATGCATTCGTAATATCACAACCTACTGTGGGAGAGAACAAACCAGATTCCAGAAAAGGAAGTAATCTTGAAGGTGCGGTGGGAGTGGATAGCAAACACATTGAGGAAAGCGCCTAATTGCGTCACAACACAAACCCTCACTCAAAACCCTCAAGGCCAAAGGAAACTGGGAAGGCCAAGGAACAGATTACGCCGAGAATTGGAAACAGTAATGACAAATGTATCGGATTCCCGAGAGTGGGGGGTCGTGGATGCGCACTGCTGATGAGCCCTATTAGGAAACGAAACGGCAGTCTGGTGCTTCCAGGTTTCTAAAAGTGGTCTAACACTGATCGTAACATGATTTCAAAGTCATTCGTCAGTCTTCACAAACGTGTAACAAATACAAAAATATTGATTAATATGAAATTTTTATGGTTCTTAAATACCGATCTACCACTGAATCAATGTGATTACAATTGATGTGACTTGATGATGCGTCAACTAGGTAGTGATTTCAAGTACTGGTAGAAATCCAATAAAAATCTTGCAGTAATAGATACTTCTTTCTCTAAGCGAATCTGAACTATTTGATTGACTAACTACTATTATTATTTATACAAAAAACTCTTGTTTTTTTAATTGATGAAAATATCAGTTAACCTGATACTACGTATTACATGATCTTACAAAATGATACAGTCAAAATATTTGATCACTGTGTGTATTTTTGATTTATTGATTTGAAATTAGACTTCCTAACCAATCCATTTTACATATAAACCATATGCATATATTTTGAAACCATGACTCGATCAATGTTAGACCACCATTAGAAACCTGGAAGCACTGAACGGCCGTTTCGTCCTCGTATGGGACTCATCAGCAGTGTGCATCCAGGATCAAAACGGTCGTCTTTCAGTGCTTCCAGGATTCTAATGGTGGTCTAACAGTGATCGATGCATGGTTTCAAAAATATGTAACTTAACAATCTTCACAACCCCATAATGCAATATGCATATATACATAAATATACATTTATTGAAATCTAAATCATGATAATTATTATTACTACTAATCAATATCTCTCCACTGATTACAAAATCAAGATATACGCTTAATTAGCATATATAACTGTATACATAATTTACTCCCATTGATAAATTCATAAAGAGCTAACAGTAGAGGGAATAAATCATATCATAGCTGAGTATGGATTATTTCATGAAGTACAACATTGCCCATTGTTCAATTGTCAGAAAAAAAAATTGAAATGTTGTTTTAATGTATTTTTTTATTTTTACAAGGTTAACTGACCACATAATCATCAAATTGGATAAAATTACATTATTATTATTATTATTATTATTATTGTAATAAGGTAAATTATGAATAAAAATCTTACTTCTTTCGATAGACATTGACAATCTTGTTTTCGTTTGTTCAAAATACTTTTTCTCCTGAAAAAAAAATGTTATACATCAAAAGAACAATAACACAACAAGAGAAAAGTAAACACTTTTATGATGTGGACATCAATAACTACATATTTACATATATTTTTTCTATAAAGAGACAACCATATTCCTTTTCTCAAATGGATTATCGAAAATTATATGATAGAATGACGGAAGCGACTTTTGATTGTGACTGTTGGCAAATAGTAATTGTCAAAAGCAAATCAATATTGTTAGAATCCCTATAGTTACGGTATAGTGTAATTATAAACAATTGTCCATACATACTACAGCATAATACTTCAGATCTATCTGTTGACGAGACAGCATCAGTAACACATCAACTGTGGCACAACAATAAAATAGATTCCAGACTCATGATAAATTAAGAAAAAAATGCTAAGAAGTGGTTTGGACACTGTGGGTGGGAATCCCCTAGACTGTATTACAAGATAAGTCCTCAGATACAATGCTGATAGCAAATGGCGGACAGGAAGAACAATAAACACATTGCGTTTAGTATTGAAGGCACTTGTGTTCGGGACGTTAGATCCCAAACACTCACTTGACAAACGTCCTAATATTGGATTTTATGTTTTCGCGCATAAGTCGCTTAGTTGACCTTGAGATTACATTTCCTACCCGAAAATTCTTAAACTATCATCGGTTGATGTGTTATTTTAGTACACTATTTTTGTGACTCTCTCTGAAGGACGTTTCCATGATGCATAAATAAATTCAATTTTTGTGCTTTTGAACCTCATATTTTCTGGGTGCTTGCAAAATACACTTTCTATGCCAGACCAAAACTTCTTCGCCTATTTAGTGAAGCCTTCGGACGTTCGGATTAGAATAGCCTATCATGTCACTAGATCATTATTTCTCTTCGATCTGGTTTACCGACTGAGCATAACAACTTGACAATGATTAGAAAGCAGAGCTTAAAAAAGAATAGGTTTGAGGTTGCCAATTTGAAATTATTGACGCAAATAAATAATTCTGGTGTAGAATGCAGTTGCTTTCTAGTAAATATCGTTTTCATTTTATGTTTAATCAGGTGTTTTCATCATAAAAATTGGAGGAGTAAATCTTACATGATTACCAAAATGATTATTTATATATATACCTAAGATTTCGATAGTCAAATTTGGATTATACACAAAATTTTAGTGGTTTACAAATTTTTCCTCCTTAAAAATTTATTACATTTTAAAAGGTTTTGTGTATAAAATCGTTATTAGTCAATTAGTTAGTCAAATGTCAGTTTTTTTTTACTAATATGTCTATTCTAATTGATTTTGACAAATAAATCTATATCTTTTTCATTCTTTCTTCTACTCAACCATCAGGTATTAAACACATTTGTTGGTGACTGGATTTAACCAATATTGATAATGATATTATCAAGTTAAAATAGTTATTATCAGATGTGAAATATTCAGATGATTCGTAGCTTGTCCTGTTGACCTTAATCTTGATTAGTTGTTATTGACATTTCATTTGTCATTGTTTGCCTCTTTATTTTGATTGTAGCCTCCCTTTGATTTGATTCTTGATTCTTTGCCTGTCTATGATATTTCTGATTGGTTGATAAATTTCGATCCAGGTCGATGAGTTTGTTGATTGATCTGAGTGCTAAGTTTCGAAAAACTTCTAAAATTCATTTGTATTCCTTTTCTCCAGTGTTTGAACAATTTTCCAGTTTTCCGCATGTATTGTTGATATAAGGGAAGAAATTTCATGGCTATTAACTGTTAATTGATGTTCACGCAAACGAAGCTGAAGAGAATTGTCCACTTTGTCCGATGTAGTGTTCCTTGCAGTTTTCAACAGCTTACTGTGTTGATAATGTTTGGCTTTTCTTATTTTGTCGTTTCTTCCTTTCGTTTTCATCGGACTGATTTCAATGATTTTGTTTGTTTGTGTGATATACCTATTCCAAATGGCTTCAGTAATCTTACTGCAATTTCCGTAGATTGATATTATTTCTGAAGTTGTGTGGATAGCCATTCTTCTGAAAAATAGTCATCAGATATTTTTCGTCGTTTTTTTTTGTGCTTCGTGTGTGCTACAGTGTATTCTCGCTTTCTTGAATAAAGTTTTTTAGGCAGTTAATTTCTTAAGTTCTTGGGGTGTTTCTGCCATAGTTGAGGATTAGATCTGTGTGGGTTGGCTTTTGGTATACTTGAGTTTTGAGTTTTCTTATGTCAGTTCTGGTGATAAGTACATCCATGAATGATCATTCATTGTTTGATTCGTTTCCATTTTATGTCACCAAAGACATCCTTCATCAGATTGAAGGTATTCTCCATCTTGTTCTTTTTGATGGTGACGAATGTGTCGTCTACATAATGAAGACACAATTTTGGCTTGGTCGCTGGTAAAATCAAGAAATCTAGTCTCTGCATCGCAGCTTCTGCAATAATACCTGATATTGGTGATCCTATTGGTGTTCCTTTAGTTTGTTTTTAGATTCTGTTGTTCGATTGTAAATATTTAGCTAACGATAACTTGATGGGGTCTAGTTGACTTTGGGAGATTTATGTCGTTGGTGAGGAGCAGGGATAAAGTTTCTTTCGCTAAGCTTGCTTTGATCGAAGTGAATAAGTCTTTTGCACCGTGAAGTATCATCAGATCGTCGTTGCTGAGTTAAATCTCTTTAAGTTCATCCAAGATTTGTTTGGGAGATCTAATGGAGTACGTTGTAGTTCTGTGAAGGTATGCAATCGTATGTAGTGGAATGTTAGGTTTGTGAAGTTTCGATCATAAACTTAAATAACTCAATACTGAATGTATTAGTCAACTGAACAACATCTGGAACTGCAAACAGCTATTAATCAACACCAAAGTTACAATTTTCAATACCAACGTCAAGATGGTTCTACTATATGCGGTAGAAACTTGGAAAACTACAAAAGCCATCATCCACAAGATACAAGTGTTTATTAACAGTTAACTACGAAAATTACTGAAGATCCATTGGTCGGACACCACCATCAACAATCCACTGTGGGATAGAACAAACCAGAAATCAGCAAAGGAAGAAATTTGGAGGAATCGCTCGAAGTGGATAGAACACACATCTTGGAAAGCAGCCAGCCACATCACAAAACATACCCTCACGTGAAACCCTCAAGGTCAAAGAACACATTACGCCGGGAAGTAGAAAAAGACAATGAGAAGTATGAACAAAAATTGGACAGAACTAGGAAGGAAGGCCCAGGACAGAGTAGGTAGGAGAATACTAGTCGGCGTGCAATGCTCGATTGGGGGTAACAGGGACAAGCAAAATCAACAATTAACAATCACTTTTTTTAAAAAAAAACACTATTTACTGACAACAGATTAAATAAAATCACAAACCTAAAATAAGCTGCACAAAATGTCAACAATAGTATAATCACTGAACATGTGATCGCTGTGGCAATAAATGTGGTCAAATGACTTTTGACATGTAGACAATCTACAGAAGAAAAAATACAAAAACATTAGAAAAACGAAAACGTCGTACGTTAAGTAGACAACTGTATGAGAAAATGTATAGGTAATAAGTCAAGATTAGGAATGGTTGTTGATGTATTAGTAAACAAATGGTCTGATTATCTTGATGGAACTGAAGTGATCTGTTAGGATATTTATCAAATATCCTACTGGTTAATTCCTATTGGTCAGTTCTTACTGGTCGATATTATAGTCGTCCTACCTATCAATGTCACATACTTCAAGTGTTGTCTACTATTCGACCTAACTGTATAAATATGCATTGTCTTTAACCTTTTATGACCCGGATCCTTAGCCTCTTCTGGACTCGGACCTGGTAATTTCTGGATGCTTGTAGAGTACACGTTCTACCGCATATTAAGTCTTCTTCTTCTGTATAGTGGGGGTTTGGGACGCTCGGATTAGCTTAGCCTATCGTGTCTCCAGATCCTCGATCCTCGTTCTCGTTTCCCGGTTAAGACGAACACGTAATAGTTCAAGCGTATCAATTGACGAGATGGCAACTGCATTCAAAACATAATCAGACAAAATTCATCAAGACTTCATTACCTTACTGACTGTCATATAACCAGTTAGTGTATAATCTTCATTAGACATATTCAACAAATCATGATAGAACAGCATTTCCTAAACGGAAGTATTTTGACTAAAATACATAAACTTTAAAAGTGTGCAATTTAGGCTACAGTTACTTTGATAAACAATGTTTTGTCGGAGATTAGTTTTTGTAATGATAAATTTCGTCAAGTACTAAGAGCAGTGTTCAAAGCAAATCACACTCCAGTTATCATTGGACATTGAATTGATGACCTTCAGCTTCAATTTGACCTTTCTAAACAAAAATGTTCGTATGTTTTGTTGACAGGCTAAAGAAACACTTGAACCAAACTAATTTAATTTTGTAATACGTTCATAGACTTTGTTTTAATTAGAGTTATGGAGATCAGTGTTTTTTACACAGCGAAATCATCAATCAGTCAATGTTCGACCACCATTAGAAACGGCCGTGTCCAGTGCTTCCAGGTTTCTAATGATGGTTTAACAATGAGTTAATAGACTATCTGAAAACCTAAGCATGATATCAACAGACCGAAGCATTCAATACACAACGAAAGTAATAAGTTTTCTCATGGATCTTACAATCAAGATTCATAATCTTTTTATCAAGTTGATCATCAAATCTAAATAGAATCATGTGCTTCTGTTATTTCAAACAAAATAAGTTTTTTTCTTAATGAACATGACGATAGATATACATAAAACTCAAACTTAATTACCTGAAGTAAATTGAAATTCTGGTAGTGTACACAAATCGAAATTGTCACGTTTGATTTCGGATAAAAGTTGTATATTTTGTTGTTGTGAAGGTTGATTATTCATGGGATTATTATTGTTATTATTATTATTATGATTATTATGATTATTAACATGATTATAGTAATTATCATTTAAAATTGACATGGAATTGTATTGTGAATCAATAGACATGGATGATTTCGAATCTGACTGTACATAATTCAAATCTTTTTGTTGTAATAATTGTGGTGTATTCATTGTTAGTTTATTGGTGATTTTATCAGCTGATATGGATTGATCACAAAATTCACCGGTATGTGTTTCAGGACATCTTAATTTTTGATGGGAAAAAAAACACCAAAACAATGTGATTATGTGTGTGTCTAGTTATACGGTAAAGATATGTGCAGTGTTAAAGTGAAAAAGGGAAGCGAAAACTTCTACTTTAGTTACCTACGTGCAAGCTTCACCTGAAGTCCTTCTGGGGCTACTGCCGCTCCCAAGTCCGGATAAACGAGGAGGGCTAGTGAGTCGGGTTAGCGAACCCATCCCATAGAAAACTAACTCGCTAATTCGATAACTAGAAAGAATGAGTATTACTGATTTTAAAACAATCTGTAACTTCTAAATTCTCTTTTCATAAGCTTAATCTCATTAATTATTCATTGAAAACAAGAAGATGCTAAGTTTTTGTCGTCTTGTAATAAACCTCCTCAGTTGTGAGCATGCACAACTTGGTAATGTGTTGACCCTATGATATAAGTAAAAAAATTAACTACTATGAACCATTGGATTCAATAAGCTGAAGATAAGTTCTTGGCATGAAGCTTGAAAACGTACATGTTCGATACCTGGAAGGATTGTGTGGTTCACTACTACGATTTGTAAGCTATGATGCACTCTGCAGTTTTTTTAATTATCTCAACAAATCAATTTGTTCTGTCAAATCCTAAATTCAACAGTCTCCATAATATCTAACAACGTTTTCGTTATGATATACAACATACTGCTACTACGATACTACATGTTTAAGTGTAAAGTTCACTTCTACTAAAAGCATTGATAATAACGTTCAAACAAATATTAAACAGTTTTAATGTAACCGTACAGAACAAAGACTCAAAACCCGTCCGTAACACAACACTATTTCGCTGTTTTGCAACTCATTAAACTTAACTTCTGATATATACAGTAAACAGTAAGTCTGATAACTCTAAAACCTTAGTTTCAAAGAACCTTGAATAGGTGAATAAATCTTTTTAGAACACATAAAATATCTCTTCTTATTCAAATTTAGGCAACGGGGATGGGATTACATGGATCCATCAAGATTTGAATTGTTACCGGAGTAGCAGCTGAACTAATGAAGATGTTGATAGATACCAAGCTGTATTGTGACACAACTATGGTTCGTAGTGATGGATCAAGTCAATATGACGTTCGTCTAGGTGCAACTGTCAACTAATCCCCGGTTACACCTAGTCCACCCCACTTCAGCTCAATCCAACAGCCGATCTAAACTTACTCGGTTTAGATTGGTTCGACCTGCTGACATTAGCAGATATCCCGTTAATATTGTATGACTACTAGTATCGCAACTACATCACTATGAGGTATATAAGAGGGAGCCAAACCGCTCCAGAATTACTCAAAGACTGGTACTACATCCACTATCTTCATGTCAAAGCTCAACGACAAGCTAATCTCCGTTCCAGAAAATATCCTCTTCGACAACGGCGAACAATAGTCAAAATGCAAGTAAACCGTTGGTTGTATCACTTTAATTTTTCCAAATGGAACTGTTAGGATATTCACCAAATATCCTAAAGAAATTATTTCGTAAGTCTAATTCAGTTAGTCAATATTTAAGGTCGTCTTACACTAACAAGTTCACATAATTTTAAATGATCTTTCCTATTGGTTAGTATGCACGGTCGACCTAACTGTATAAATATATATTATCTGTAAAGTTTTATGCTTGTAGGCTACACTTTCTACTCCACATCAAAACTTTTGATACCGTTTGTGGGGACTTGGGACGCTCAGATTAGTGTAGCCTATCATGTCAATGGATCATCTTGTCTTATCTCTCGTTTACCGACTAAGGTGATTTCGTCATAACATTCAAGCATATCAGTTGACGAGTATAACAAAATATGCCAGCAAAGCAAAACTATTCGAGTATTTTTTAAAATAGAATATTAAAATTTATATCGAAATTAAACGTTCAAGTGTAACGCGTTTACACATAAATAAATTATTAGACTTGAAAGAACCATTTTTTGAATACTTTGTTTATGAAAATCCCTCCATGTATACATCTTTAATTTGTTTTTATTGGTTCCTTCAGTTGTGCATTTTATTAGTCTGTTCGATTCCATCTTGAGATGATAATATTTGTATTTTATTATAGTTTCTATTTATTTTGCTTTCAATGAGTTTCTATGTTTTTTTCTGAACAGCATTATGTTGTTTAAGTTGATACTTACTCATGGCGACAGCCATATTGATTTATTCCTTTTTGGATTGAGTCGCTTGCATTGACTGGAATTGTGCAATCTGGATTGGAGATTGGAGCACTCTCCCAGACTAGGAAACACTCTGTGTTATAAAGCAACCAAATATTATCTTTTGAACGAATTTTATCAATCCAGGAGGGATAGAATAACATTTATTTGTTGCTGTTGATTTGATTAATTGAACAATTGTTGGTGGAATAACTGAGTGGTAATATTTGTTTAGGTAATGATGTATATTTATATTTATGATGAATATTAGAACGGTTATTTACCCAAATCACTTGTTTTGAATCTAAACTGGACACGGCGCGTATCTAAACTACCAGGACAGTTATTCCTCAATCCAAACCTCAGTTTGGATCCTACAGACTTAAGAGTTTCACCTGGATTTTTTCAAATGAAATATTATCATAATAAATCGATACTAATACATTCTCTCTCTCTCTCTCAGTTGCTTGATTTTCTCATTGCATAACAAATATTACTGATTTCAAACAAAACATTCATAAAACTACCAAAAAAACAATACCATTTTACACATTTGAAATCCTCAATCAATCATTGTTAGACCACCATTAAAAACTTGGAAGCACTGGACGGCCCATTTCGTCCTGGTATGAGACTCATCAGTGACAATGCGTATCCACGAATCGAATCCTGTGAGGTTTGGGAGTCGTGGATACACACTGCCACTGATGAGTCCCATACCAGGATGGAACGACCCTCAAAACAGTGCTTTCGGGTTTCTAATGGTACTCTAACAATGATTGACTAATGATTTCAAATGTGTAAAAACACAAACCTTCAAACCTCTGGCTGGAAATACCATTTTATGATCAAATAAAAGAAATTATTATAAAATTTTCAAAAAAAAAATAAAATTAAAAAGCATTTTTTTCCTCTTCAAAAATTACATGGCAGAATATTAGATGACAATACTTACTTACCTACATTGTGAATGATTATTTATAATGAAACATGTGCCAACATTGCAAACATTCACTGGACAAGCTGAATAAACTAAAATAAATCAAAATTTATGAAAAAAAATAAAATAAAATAAATTAACGAAATTTTAAACAAATATTTCTAATTAAAAAAAAGATATGGAATAGATTTAAATAAGTTTAGAAAGTAGATTATTTATGTGGCTTATGTACAGATATATATACATAAATATTTTCGTGTCCAAATTCAAAAAGCCCTCAAAAAAAAATTAAAAACGGTTTAAACAATATTATTGCTCTATTTTTTTTTGAATAAAATCCCTACCAAGTGTTCAATGCTTTTCGTGTTTGTTTGATTGTTTGTTTGTTTAACTTTTCCTTTCATGTTAATCCCCTTTTTTGATTATCATTTTGAATTAGTTTTATTGATGATATGCATTAGTAAAGAGTTATAATTATAATAATATGTGAAATGAATATCAGTTTAATTTTTTTTTGTTGAACCAATTAAAATGAATCTTTGATGCACTTGGTTTGACTATGATAAACAAACTTTTGTTCATTGACAGTAAATTTTTTTAAGTAATTAAGCCTACTTGCATATTGATTGTTCATTTATTTTAGATCAATATCGTCATGAATCTGATACAGATGTGTAGGTGTGGATTAGCAAATTAAGGGTAGCATTTCTGCAATTACAGAACTCAAAGCAACACTAAAGTTACAATTATAAATACAAATATCAAGACAGTTCTCTACTGTATGTGGTGGAAACTTGGAGAACTACCAAAATCATCATCCACGAGATACAAGTGTCTAATTACAGTTGTCTACGAAAAATACTGGGGACCCGTTGGTCGGAAATGATCAGCAATAACCTACTGTAGGATTGAACAAACTAGATCCAAGCGGAGGAAGAAATCAGGAAGAAGCAGTAGAAGTGGATAGGATAGAGACTAAGGAAATCGCCCAACTACGTGACAAAGCATGTCCTCTTTTGCAATTCTTAAGGTTAAAGAAAGAGAGAGGATGACCAAAGAACTTATTACACTGGGATTCGAAGAAAGGCATGAGCAGAATGAACAGCTATCGGATGGAACTGGAAAACAAGTCCTCGGACAGAGTAGGTTGGAGAATACTTGTCTCAACCACCTCCAATGGTGAAGTTTCAAAACCTTATCTATTGAACTGCCTTCCTTACATAGAACCCGTTTCCTAACAACAATATTGCTTACTCGATAGTCTCAAGATAAACGAGTAATGCTTCGGAATCAACTATGATCGCATACTAGTAGCCTATGAATATCCTCTACTCTGACTGGCCATCTTTCACAAATATATAGAGTAGGACGGAGTGAACTGCTGTGAATTTGACGTGACTCTTGAGATAAGTGAACCTTTAGACACGCTCACTCCCTATCAATAATTAAGGTGCAGATGCAAGCTAATCCTGAGGCGAAATTTTGTATTTCGAGGGTGAGAAGCGCATCTCGAACTTGTTTAGTTTGTTGGTTAGCCTAGTCAGTATGTAGTGCCTCCACATATATTCCAGTTCGCTTACATCTAATTCGGTTAAGCCCTTTCGATTAATTTATTTAACCAAGCCATTTGTATTGCAACAATTTACATGTACTATTTGTTCTTATTATTGTCTGGTTTGTATGAGCTCACATGACGTGTCCCACTCGACATTTGACCTTGTCAATCATTCGTCGCTTTTATTCATGTGTGTGCATACCTATCTCGTTGATCATATGTCTGTCTTATATTTGTCTGACTATATATTCTTAGTCATGTTCTATCTCTAGGACTTGGCTCAACAGCCTTCTCCAATTCACTTCGCCCATTCGCTCGCATTGTAATCCAAAGAGTTGGCTCTTAGCCTTCTCCAATCCGCTTCGCTTTGTGGTGTGTCCCGAATAAACGTATTCATCACTTTGTGTTCATCTTCTGATTTATTAACCGTCAGACGCTATTTGGCAACGATTGTCTGGACGAGTTAATTACCGAGCTTTAAAACACGCAGATATTTGGCCACCACAAGTATACTCTGCATTTTTTCAACATCTTCACCAAACAGAACAATGTCATCGGTTTATTCTAAGTCAAAAAGCGAGTCTCCTGGTAGAAGGCCGTCGACTCCTAAAAAGTCAGACAATGAAAGTGTCCTCTTTCAAAGCATGTCAATAACAGTTGAATAAGAATGCCAAGAAGTGGACAGCTCTAACGTCGTACACAGAGATAAATATAGACACAATGGTATCTGTTTAGTAGATTAAATATCTATTGTATTGTTACGTATGTGTACAGATGTGCAATATTACATAACCGCAAGTTGAAACAAATTGGTTTCCTTCCTAATTACAAATATTTTAAGAATCATACACTGAATTGAAAAAAATATGCTTTTCATACATATTTATTGCACAATATTTAAAATGAAAAACAAGCAACATGATAATTGAAAGCAGCATAGTTTCATTTTTTCTTTAAACCAAATGAAATATAAATTATGTCAATCCATGAAACACTTAATTCACCCTTGTCAAATATATAGTATTTCAACTCGTTTTTTTAAACATTTCACAGCGTTTCTTGAAATAACCACAGCGTTTTTCCGAAATTTTTTTATAATTCTTAAAATGTCCTTATACACTGATTATTTAACAACTCAGAATCAAGTAAAATTAAACGACAGATAGATATATACATACATACGCAAGATTTTACGAGATATCGAAGACTCATTCATAGAAGTTTTTATTCATAAATCATTCTTTCATTTGTATATATTTGAGAAGAACTTTGAGGAAGATCTACAAGAGGAAAACCAGCAAGTACCATGGTTCCATGGTCAACATGTGGAACTAATGTAAGTTTGATAATATCCGCAATAACAGAAAATGAAGTTCTTTTTGCGCAAACTTTTTTTCGTTCACTGAACTCCGACTAGTTCATCCATTTTTTTTTGATCAATTGATTGAAAAATGCGATCGAAAATCAATTTTTTAAGAATTGCATTTTCATCTTTCATCATGCAAGGATCCATCACTTCAATATTTACTAAAACTTTTTTTGATGAAAAGAGAGTAAAGGTTATGTTTTTATCGCCTCATAGTTAGTTATATGCTTAATCCAACTGAATTTGCATTTTCAAAAATTAAATCCAGTTTATATAAGAAGATCACTGGCATATTAAATTCTGTAAATCAATTAACCACAAACGATTTATACAAGGTTATTCAAGACACATACGTCGCAATTGTTAATAAAAGCGATTGCTAAAGAAGATTTTAATTTTAAAAAATTTAGTATTCTTCCTATTTTTTGGAAAAAAACATTTTAAAAAACGCTGTGAAAATTTTAAAATAACGAGTTAAAATACTATATAATCTAGATGTGTACTGCGAATTTAAATTTTAAAAAAATCTACATGTTCATTTGACAATAGAACTGTACAAAATACAATATTAAACTGTAAATATTAAACTGTGGAATGATGATGATAAGATCATGGAACTAATCTAAGTTGCACATTGATTGAAATCCGTAACAATTAAACATATGTTTTTTTCCTAGTATAGGACTCTTCAGTAGTGTACATCTGTCATCCTTGGAATTTGAGGATTGATCCTAGGACTTTCGATTAATGCCTCCTCACTCCAAGACCGATAATAATCGTATGTGGACTTCTGATGATCTTCGAGGAAGAATTTCTGAATTTCTTAAAGTAAAGTACAATCGACGACGACGGAAGATGTTTGTATCTGTTGGGGACGTTAGGTCTCCAGAACACGCTTGATAAATGTCTTAATATTGGATTTTACTCATTGGTTGATCATTTGACCTTGACATTTTATTTCACACCGGGAAAATCCTTGACTGTGATTAGTTACTCATATTTTAGTGTGCTATTATTGTGACTCTCCCAAGCACGTTTCTCTGATGTATAAATAAACACGATTTGTGTACTTGGATTCATTGTGTGCTGTTTGGGTGTTTGTAGAATACACTTTTTACGCTATATCAAGATTTCTCGTTAGTTCCTTTGTGTCATCGGATCAGAGTAGTCTACCTGGACGCTGGTTCATTATCTCGTTCTCGTTTATCGACTAAGGCGAACCCCTAACAGTTTGAAGCATATCAAGTGATGAGTATATCAGTATCACATCACCAACTGGCTGAAGTTAGACATAAATGCCATTAGATTTCAATTCAATGGTCTAGAAATTAAGAATTCACATTCAAGAACGAAGTTACCGGGCTCAATCACTGATGACAAAGGCGTGGATGTACACGCTTGAGAGGTCTCACCTTAAGAAGCATCTGCACATTTCTTCCAGATATTATTATACAAGAGACTTCAGATTTCTCGTCAATGTCAGTTAACATAATTATCGACCAGAGTAAACTGAAGTGTCGAACCTGCTTTACATTATAAATCTACCCTGGTTTTCTAATTGGCTAAACTTACTTGAAAAATATGTAACAATGAAGTGTAAATTATAGAATAATACAACAACAGTAAACGACAACAGCAACAACAACAAAGATTTACCAGAAACAAAAACCCATTTGCTTATTTGATTCTGTTTACTTTCTCCTCGACAAGAATAATTCCCGGAATCGCTTGTAATAACATGTTCTATGCGTAATTCTGAATGTTTCCTGTAAATTTAAAAAAAAAGTAGAGAAGTGCAAAACTGTATAATTCATGTTGACAATGCTTCTTAAACATCTATGATTGAATACTAGTAACCTACGAATATCTTCTACTCTTAACGGCCATGTTTCACAGCCGTATAGGAGAACGGAGCGAACTGCTGCGCAGTACACGCATCTTTTAGTCAGCAGACGGATATCTCGTCTACGCCATAAGTGACGCAGGTTGGCAAAAGCCAATCTAGCCTTCTTTATCCGAGCTGAGATTTCGTCAGTCACCAGACCGTCAGCACTGATGAGACTACCCAGATAAGTGAAGTGATCTACACGCTCGACTACTTCACTCCCTATCACTAGTTCAGGTGCCGATGCAACGCATACTTGGAGCAACATTTAGCATTTTGAGGGTGAGAACCACATCACGAACACGCTCGCATTGTTGCTTATGGTAGTCAGAGCTCGTATGTCGTGGGACAACCGTGTAAGCAATGCTATAGTTAAGAAACGAGTAATAGGTAAGGATGGCAGATCAATAGATGAAGTAGTGAAACTTTATCAGTTGAGGTGGTTGGGACATGTGTTACGTATGACCAACCACCGACTGCCTCGACGAGCAATGTTTTGTGGTGTAGGAGTAGGTTGGAAGAAAGCTAGAGGCGGCCAGACCAAAACATGGCACAAATCCATGAAGTCACTGACAAGTGAACTGAGTCATGTTGGTAGATGTAGACTACCTGGTTTGGGTCCGCGAGACGAAAGTCACCAATGGTTAGAGACCTTGAACGACATGGCTCAAAATCGTTTGCAATGGCGCAAGTTCATCCATTCGTTGTGCTCTCTCAAATCCTAATCTTCTGGATTCATCAACACTAATACCTTTTTCTTTCTAACCTTATCTCACTGGATTATACTTCTTGAATAATATCTTCTATCTATCACTATGGGATTTGATTTGACATTTGCGTCTCTGTGCTAATGTGGTATGTCAACATGAACATGTACATACGTACGAAGTTCTACACTGTAGCTGACTGACTGACTATGGTAGTCAGAAGACTCTGCATTTTGTCAGTGTCTTCACCGAATAGAACTATGTCATCGGTATATTCTAGATCAGTAAGCGAATTTCCTGGTAGAAGCCGCCTAAAGCTCCAGGAACATGACTATTGTCGGACGTCTCACTGTGTGTCTGTGTTCCAGGACCTGTCGTAGTGTGAAGATGTGGTCTATACAACCACGTCCAGGTCGAAAACCAGCCTGGTTTTCTCGAGTCTGCTCTTCACGAGCTCTAGTTAGACGTCTAAGTATAATCGAGGCTAACAATTTAGAAACTATATTAGTTAGACTGATTCCCCTGTGATTGTCACAAGAGGACTTTTGTCCTTTCTTGTAGATTGGGACAATTAGTGATTAAGACCAGTCGCATGGGATTGCGTCCAGTTCCCACATTCTACCTAGGATCTCGGTCAGTCTAACAGTTAAAACTGGACCACCATCTTTAAGCATCTCAGGGGTCAATCTATCAGGACCTGCTGCTATACATCGCTTGAGGTTTCCAATAGCTTTCTCAACTTCATAAAGACTACGGGGACTTACGTCGATTTGCCATTCAGGATGACTGGAGATCGTGGGCAAACGAAGTGTTGCTGAAGACCAGTTGAACTGATCGCTAAAGTGTTCTGCCCATCGGTCCAATCTCCTGAGTTGAGAATGGATAATAAGACCATCCTTTTCCGGGATTGTCTTACTCACATTCGGGTTCTTAATACCGGTTTCCTTAATAAGGCGGAAAAGTTGTCTAGTGTTGCCTATCGCCGCTGCCTTTTCCATCGCTTTTGCTTTCGCCACCCACCTCTGTTCGCGGTCGTTACGTAGGCTTTTTATAAGTCTGCGCCTAAGCTGACTACGCTCTTCATCATATTCAGAGTCAGGTGGAATGCGTTTTCGAGCATCCATCAGTTCGGTGGATGTAAATGAAATCCACTGCTTCATCCTAGCCTTGTGGTTTACCTTGCTAGCAGACACCATTGCTGTTTCCACAGCCTTCTTGATATGATTCCGACCTGCTTCAGGATGGGAATTACTTGCATGGCCGCCTAACTGTTTTTTTAGTTCCTCCTGAAATATTTTCTTAGCTTGATTATCATCAAGTAAAGCCCTATGAGGCTTCCTTACGGTGTCTTTCCTACGTCCAGCAAGCCTCAAACAAATACGCGCTCGCACTAGGGCATGATCTGAATCTAGACATGTGTTGTAGAACGAGCGACAGTCCTCTGTCGAACCCCTCCATCGGTGGCTGATGGCGATGTGATCTAGTTGAGTTCAACGTCTAGACGACTTCGGGGGTCGCCAGGTCAACAGATGCTTTCCTTATGCTTAAAGTTATTGTTCGCTAGAAATAGGCGGTTACCTGAGCATAGCTGCAGCACACGGTCACCATTATCTGTACTATTAGCCGCGACACCATAAGATCCACCAGGTATCTTTTCTCTTCTCTTAGTCTGTCTACTTGAGCAATAAAGTCACAGTCATTATTACTATGCCAGAGCGCTTAACATTTTGAAAGAAGTCTGAACGCTTTCTATAAAACTCATCTTTTACCTCGTCTGAACTGCAGTCAGTGGGGGTGTAGGCTGATATGACGAAGAGGCAACGACGAGTGTCCCTATCCTTTCGAGTCCTTACTGTCTCGTTTAGTCGGACGGCGCACAAACGACTATCTACTGGGATCCAGTCAAAGAGAGATTGTTCAGCTCTACGACTCACTGCTATACATACACCAGCGAGACCCCGGGAAGCAGCATCAGGGCTACCGGATACACGAAGGGTAAATCGAGCTGCTTCTTTATCTTGACATGGTGAGGTCAAGTGAATGATGCTACTCGGATCCTGTATGGCACGAAATTCTAATGTCCTAGCTAATGACGACTGTTGCCCTATTTGACACAATGTCCGTACATTAAATGCTCCAACATGTAGTGAAGAACGGGGTATAAGGAGACCAGGCACAACGTTTCGTGAACTCGCATCGTTTGCATTAGCTGTGCACTGTGATTATTGAATGTGAGAAGAGTTAGTCGTGGAGATAGGAGAGGTACTAGGAGGTGTAGTAAGAACTTGATTTCGACCAATTTGCTCTCGTGTGCTGTTACAGGTATGAGGGCGGTTGTCACTTCCCGGCTGCCCACACCGTGGAAGGTTGTTTCTGGAGGGACCCAAAAAGGAAGATGGATTAGTGTTGGTGCGTGGCCGCAGAGCCCAAGGGACAACTACTTGAGGCCGGTCACGCACGGCCTTTCGATGAAAGGTATTTTGAGGATTAGCTCCGCTCTTAAACGCCCTTAGTGGGCACCCTCACCGCCGGAGACAGGAATCCGTGAGGTAGGGTGAGGTGTGACATTTTTAAGGCCAACCTCTTCTAACCCGTTCCTCCTTGTGAGAAGGCGGCATCGCTGCAGAAGCTGGTTGTCCGAGGGAAACACCTTACTGCTGTCACACTTCTCTGCAGTCAGCAGTACAACATCGCCCTCAGACCTTGAGTATCTGCTTTTAGTCTCATCGTTCTCTATTCGACCTACTTGGCATGGTAGAACCTGAAGGAACGTATGTTCCAGCCAGTATAGCTCGGTTGGGTCATCACGATAGGCAATGCTGACCACCACGTCCACATAGCAGCTTCGGTCGGGGCAGACTATGAGTAAAATGCATTTACATGGAACAAACAAAAGTGTTATCAATTACCCCGACCGAAGCTGCTATGTGGACGTGGTGGTCAGCCTTGCTTATCGTGATGACCCAACCGAGCTACACTGGCTTGAACATATGTTCCTGCAGGTCCTACCATGCCAGGCAGGTCGGTTGGAGAACGATGAGACTAAAAGCAGCTACTCAAGGTCTGAGGGCGAAGTTGTACTACAGACTGCAGAGAAGTGTGACAGCAGTAAGGTGTTTCCCTCGGACAACCAGCATCTGCAGCGATGCCGCCTTCTCACAAGGAAGGAAGGGTTGGAAAAGGTCGGCCCTAAAAATGTCACACCTCACCCTACCTCACGGATTCCCTTCTCCGGAGGTAAGGGTGCCCACTAAGGGCCTTTAAGAGCGGAGCTAATCCTCAAAATACCTTTCATCAAAAGGCCGTGCGTGACCGGCCTCAAGCAGTTGTCCCTTGGGCTCTGCGGTCACGCACCAACACTAATCCATCTTCCTTTTCAGGTCCCTCGAAAAACAACCTTCCACGGTGTGGGCAGCCGGGAAGTGACAACCGCCCTCATACTCGTAACAGCACACGAGACCAAATCGGTCAAAATCAAATCCTTCCTACACCCCCTAATACCTTTCTTATCTCCACGACTAACTCTTCTCACATTTTCTTTATCTTACTGCACAGCTAATGCAAACGATGCGAGTTCACGAAACGTCGTTCCTGGTCTCCTTAAACCCCGTTCTTCACTACATGTTGGAGCATTCAATGTACGGACATTGTGTCAAATAGGGCAACAGTCATCATTAGCTAGGACATTAGAATTTTGTGCCATACAGGATCCGAGTAGCATCACTCATTTGACCTCACCATGTCAAGATAAAGAAGCAGCTCGATTTACCCTTCGTGTATCCGGTAGACCTGATGCTGCT